AGACATCCCCTTCCATCATTGGTTTCCCTCCACCATTGGTCTCTGTCCATCCTTTCACTACCAGTCTGCTGAACTAATAGCTTCTCAAGATTTTTAACTGAGTCAAAAGAAGGGTAGGCCAGATACACGGCAAGTGGTAAATGGCTAGAAAGGAGACTTTCGATAGATCAGGATAGTCTGGCTCTAGATCTGTATCATTCCAACTCTCTCCAACCAGGAGGTCCTAATCAAGCAATCACTGGGCAGAATCAGTCTTGGTGTGGCTTTTTCAGGGAAAAGACCCGCATAATCTACGTAAAGAAAAGTGACTTCCACTTTAAAAAAAAAAAAAAAGATGGGAAACTGACTTGGAAAAAGTGATCAGTAGTGCCAGCTACTTATACCTGAAGAAGAGAATTATTCTGATAATGTTGATAAACTCAACACAAGATGGCCAGGGCCAGACTAAGGCCCTTGCAAAGGCAATGGTTAGCTCTCTCCTTGAGCAGCCAGAGCGCCTTGGAGCTGAGATGTGACAAGATGATTACAGGTCCCTTGTGCAGTGTTGGAAGCCCAGCAGCCTGCATATTTTATAAATATCTGCTCTGGCTGGGCTTCGAGGGAGAGAGATCCAATGACTGTGTGAGTCCCACCAGGCTCAGCACCTGATGGGAATCCTACCTAATCGATCGTCCAGATGAAACAAACACCTCTCTCAAGCCTTTCACAGACCTGACACCAATAATAATAATAATTACATTGATTGTTACCGGCCACCTCTCTCAGCCTTCCCAAGTTTATGCCATTTGAAATTTTGCCCGTTCAGGGTCTGGAGACCACAAAAATAAAAAAAAAAAATTTTAAACAGCTCCGCTTGTGTTAAGACATCGCAAGGAAAAATACAAAAAACAAAACACACACACCACGCGCGCGCACGCACACACACGCAAACGCACACACACGCAACCAAAAAAACTATAATGGTGAGAAACGGTTATCACCAGGCCGTGAGAGCTCAGAATAACAGTTTAACAGTTCGGGTGGACTTAGATAAGTTGATTATGAGGCGTAAGAGTTCAGTAAATAACACGTGGCAACAACAACTAACCCGAAGTCACTTGAATCAGTTACACGGAGAGGCCCTGACACAGCCAGAACTGAAGCTTGTTTTTCCGCCGTGCAGACAGCGGATAAAAAAAAAAAAAAATATTGCGGATGTTATGAGCTCGCGCTGGGGGGCCGTTTCCCTTTTCTGGAGTTGTAAAGAGCCGGCGCACAGCCCTGCGGGAACGCCGAGCTCCTAACGAGCTTGGCTCGGCCTTAGGGGTGGAGTGGGGGTGGGGGAGGGGCGCCGACGGCTTTAGCGGATCTCGGAATCCGGCCAGCGCGCCCTGGCTCCCTAACTGCCTCGAAATGATTTACACGAGCAGAAGGTGTGCATTGGCGGGGTCCAGCTGGCCATCGCGTCACGGTGAGTTTTCATTCTGCAAATTTCCCTCCTGTCCCAGTTTGAAACGGGCATCTACTCTCTACCGGCTCCCGCTCGCCCCTTAAAAGTTTGTTTTCCAACTGTAAACCCGGTTTCCATCCATCCGTGCTGCCCGAGAACCGCATTCATTAGCCAGGCTGACTTGGGAGAAGAGAAAAAGCTACCTTTGTGTACATAATCAGAGCCACCGCGTGGCCGCGGATAACCGCCGGGAAGGGACGTTTCGGCCTCGTGCTGCCGTGGGGTTGGGCTTAGCGGACCCGAGGCGGGTTCCGTGGGGTGGCCCCCGAAGCCACTGTCCAAGTTAGCAAATAAAGCGACGAGGCAGTCATCGCCGGGTCCGGACCCGGCTCCTGCCACTCACGCCATCCAGCTCCTCCTCCCTGCGTCTGTCCTCCCTCCTCTCCCTAGTCCCCGGCGGATGTGAGCCACCAATCCCAGGCACAGACACCCCTTCAAAACCCGGAGCGAGGCGGCCCTCCAACGGGCGGCCGGGCCCTCCGCGGCCCCCTTCCGCACCACATGAGTCCCGCACCCGGGCCCAGCAGCTGAGTCATCCCCGGCCGGGTCCCGGAAAGCGCTGCGCCCCGGGCGGGCGGTTTGCAGAGGGGCTTGCCAGCCGGTGGGTTCTCCCTGGACACTGTCGTGCAACCGCCTCCTGCGCTGATGCCCGCGTGTGCTCCCTTACCCAGCACTCTGCAAACCACAGGGTCTGGGGGAGGGGGAGGGTCGTTTTGCGGTTCCTGCCAGCTTAATGTGACTCTTCCTCCAGTTGGTTCATTTTGGAAAAACCACCCAAGCTCCTTTTCCTCTCGGGAGTTTTAACGCGCTCCTCGGAGGGGTTGTCTTTGGGAAGGGGGCGCGGCGGAGGCTTGCTTTAATTTCTAACGTAATCGTAAACAGGTTCCAAAGTCTAGCGGGTCATCCTGTGGCCGCCTTGGTGTGACTCGGCTTTAACCTTGTTTTTCTGGGTCTGTCTCCTCCTGCCGGATCTCCACCGAGGTCACAAAACCAGAACGGCCACAGAGCCGAAACTGGAGACAGACACCGGCGGTGACGTCGCTGCTCAGTTTATTTACATTTGGGTTTTTTCTACGTTTTTTTTTTCCCTCTCTAGTGGGGAAAGTCTTCTGTGACATGTGACAGTTGGTTTCTCTCTCTCTCTCTCTCTCTCTCTCTCTCTCTCTCTCTCTCTCTCTGTCTCTCTGTCTCTCTCTCTTCCTCTCTCTTCCTCTCTCTCTCTCTTTCTCTCTCGACCAGTCATAGGTGAAAACTAGACCCAGAAGTGCGGGCATGCGCGGCTCGAAGTTGGCCAAAACAGCATCTGGCTTGTATTTGGCGGCGGGGGGGGGGGGGGGTCTTCATGGAACTCCCTTTGGAGCGCCCCTTCTCAAGCAAAATAAACCAATAGAAATGAGTGCTTATTTAATGGCTAGTTTCTGTTTGAAATACCGAAGGGTGGAGGGGAGTGTCCTCTGGTGGGATATTAGCCCACAAAGTAGACACTGTTTACCGAAACAGATAAACAGTCCCAGCGTAGTCGCCCATCTTTTTAAAAAGGCGTGTGGGGGTGGGGGAGTTGCAGTGGGACACACGCGCGCCCTGGCCGTCCCCTAGCCGAGACGTTTAAAGAGCATGTGAGCATGACAAGTGTCTATCCGCAACGTGTTAGATGTCGAAACTGCCTTGCAATCCAATCCGGAACTCAGAGCTTTAGCCCAGGGGAATAGACATTTGCCCAGGGTGCCTGTGTCTGCCCCCCCCCCACCTCCCACTGTCACTGTTGGCAGAAGAGTCCACGAGGAGGAGGGTGCGCCGTGCCGCGCCCGCGTGTCAATGGCAGCTGCGCCTTCTGGAAGAAGTTGGTTCTTGTTCGGAATACTTTTCCTTCAGTGCCCCACCCCTTGAATCAGAAGCCGCTGCCTCCGGCGGCTGGAGCAGGGACCGTGGAGTTTGGGGCAGCTGTCAAAAAGAACGGTTGGGGGTGTCTTTTCTTCTCTGAGGTGGACAGAGGTGATGTCCTTAACCCTCTCCCCATCCTTTGCAAACTAAGCATACTCTCCCGCTCGCCCGGAGAGGAAAGGCCCCAAAGGAGAAACCGGTGTGGCCGCTGAGGGCTGAGGGATGCGGATGATACTCTCGCCACGGGCGGGCAGGCATGACCCTGGTTCTGGGCTCCGCCACCCTGGAGAGGGACGGGTGATCTCGGCCCCCAGGACCAGGGCTGTGGAGCTGGAAGGTGCGGGGGAGGGGCAGAGGAGCGGCGGGGCGGGCGGGGGACGGGGCGGGCGGCTGGGGGCGGAGGCAGGACCTCCTGTACCTTCCCTCTGCTCTCTCACTCTGACAGCGCCGAGGTGCGCCGAGTGGAGCGGGAAACAAAGGAGCTGGGTAGGGAGGGGAGTGAGTTGGGCCAGGGAGAGCCCCCGGCTGGCTGCCAGAAGATCCCGGCTGGAGGAAGCCCAAGTGTCACTTGAATTCCAACCCAGAAGCCAGCGCCTGAGACCCGAGCACCTTGTTTTAGCAATAGTGGTTGGAACACTCTCTTGTAAGTTACCGGAGCACCAGTAAAGGAGGATCATCGCCTACCCCCCCGCCACTCCACGGCTGTTGGCCCCTAGAAACCCCAGCTTCACCTCTCTCTGGGACTCGAGTTCCAGAATGAAAAGCAAGAAGGGTAAGGCTGCCGCGGGGTGTGAGCGCCCCGGGCACCAGTGTGGGACATGTGCGGGCCGCGCCGGATTGGGGGACACTGACTTGATGGGACTTTTCCGCCCAGTGGCTCCCAGGCTTAAGCGGTGGCTGTTCTCTTTGTTGAGGCTGTGTCTCTGATGGCTGTTGCTGTTCTTTTCCTTCTAGACACAACATGAGGGGCTGTTGTGGGGAGACTTAGCCTCGCCACGCTGCTGGCACGTTGTCAAGAAACATGCTCAGCGCCTTGTTTGTGCGCCTCCCAAGTTTCATTGTCTTCCTGACACCCCATGCTCGGCCCAGCCGCCGCGTGGTTTCTCGTGCTGTTTCTGGGGCAGGGCTTTGCTGTTGATGTTCAAGGGGTCCTGGGGACCTCGCTTTTCCCTGTGGGGGGTCCTTGGCGCATTCCAGTCTCCTTACCTTTTGTCTAAAAGTTTGTGGTTCCGGGTATTCTCACTCCTCACCGGATCCTGGCACTACTTTTTAAGGGATGTGGTAGTGTTTTTCACTATCAAAGGAATGTGATCCGGAACCCCATACATTCGCCTTAGGGTGAACATAGCTTTGGAAAGGACTTTAAAATTTTACTAGCTTCTAAAAGTTTTCCCCACGATGAATTTACGACAGCGTGAGCTGTTAGAACACAGGTATCATGCAATCAAAAAGTGTTCAAGTGTGACAAGCAGGCTTGGTTGTAAGTGCAAAAAGCGAAGCTGTCATTGTTTCCACCAAGCTTTACAACTAAAACTTGCCGTCAGTCTGGTTTAAAAACAACACACACAGGGGAGGAAGGGGGGAAAAAACCCAAAAGGTCAAAGACTGTGAAGTCCCTTTTGAAGCTAACTTTGGAGTCCCTGACTGGGAGCTCCCTCGAGTGTTTTAGTCGTGGACTGGAGTTGGCTTTTCTGTTGTGATTTATGTGGAGTGGTTCAAAACAGAAGTTAATCGCTTGGGGAAGCTGGCGGAGGAGGGGGCGGCGCGCTGCTGCGCATGCCCAGGAGCTTCCTCGAGTTTGTTACTCATTCTTTCAGACCTAGACCGCGACTGCAGTTCCAACGGAACACGGTTACGGCAGCTGCAGCCGAACACACTTCCCCACGGGGTTTCTCCCCGCTTTCTACCTTATAGAGTTGTGCGGATGTTATTCTGTGAGAGACCCTGAAACATGCGGAACTCATGAAGACCCCGGGTACTTGGTTAAGTAGGCCTCCTTTCACTTTTCCACGCTGGGACAGTGAGAATATGGGCGCTCTGAGTTGGGGGACAGTTTAACTGGGCTCGGGGGGGGGGGAGGGGGGAAACGTAGGGATTCTCTGTAGAGCCGTGCCACCCCTTGACGAAACTGACAGATCTAGGCCCCCGCGGGAGGCATTTTGTTCCAATAACACCTAAATGAGGGTAGTTTGGTTTTGTGTGGCTCCAGGGTGCCAGAATGCAAAACTGGGCTTCTGTGGGTGGAAGGAAGGCTGACGACTAGCTTCCCAGTCAGGTTCCACCCTCTTGGGTGTCCCCTTCCCCAGATGCGAGGTTTGGGGCAAACATCAGTGGTCCCCAGCCCAAACAAAGTGCGTGGGTTCCGCAAGTCAACCCCCGACTCATGGAAACGATGAACGGTGACGTGTTGGAGAGGAAACTTTGCTGCGACTGATTCGGAGTTTCTCCTGGGGAGAGCTGAGACTGCTAAGGTTGTCCCGGCTCCTTTCCCTTTTTAGGCTTCCCCAGCACATGGTCTGGGAAGGGGGCAGACCCTTGAGGATGTGAGCCGCAACGCCCCATTTCCTTAGTCCTTAGGGACCAGGGGCCAGCTCGGTTGCTAACTTAACTTGTACAGTTAGCTGGCGGGCTTCAGTTGAGGCTGAAGAACAAAAGCTGCTTGCTCTCCTCGGGGCCCCTCCCTCTCCTGCGAGCCTCCACAGCCCTGCCTCCCACTGTCTGAAGTTACCTGGGAGGGGAGGGTGAGCTTCCCTGTCCTTGGGCCAGGACTACTTAAACCTGTCCCGCCTATTGTCTGTTTTAGGAAAGTGAACATCTTTAAACTTTTCTAAAGACAAAGACTGGTATATGATAATAAAGTGCCCTCAGTAGAAAGCAGAGACCGCCGAAGAGTTCCAAAAATGGCTTCAGAGCAGGCTGGAAGAGGGCTCAACAAGGAAAATCCCCAAGTGTTCTTGCGGATTGAATCTGTTTAGGGCTGAGCTGGCTGGGTCCTTTCTAGCGGGCTGTGTGGACTTAGTGCCTTGGGTGTGAAGTTCTATCAAGTTACTTGTCCATAGGGAAGAGACTAATTAGGTTTGGTTTTTCCCTTGATCTTTTCCCCTCATTTCTTTTCTAGTCTACAAGATATCTTTAAAATCCAAGTACTCCCCACCCCAACCCTCCATGTTTCATAGCTTCAGGAAAAGATAGTGAAGAAGCAAGATTTGTTTCATAGAGCCATGGGTTCCACAGGCCATCTTGTGGCTTTCTGAACAACATTTCCTTGTATGTGAATAGAGTAAGAGGATTCTCAATCTGTCCCACAGCCACCTCTCTCCCCCCCCCAACTGCATTTTTTTTTTTCAAAGTGTAAGCAAAGCGAGACGATTGGAAACAAGTCCTAACTGGGAAACTTTTCAAAAGTTCTGTTACAGTAGGAAATGAGTAACGAGGAAAAAAGTCTTTGTTTTTCCAAGTCGAGCCATAATCAGGAGGGAGTTTTAATGAAAATAGCCTTGACAGTAGCAAACGTGGTCTCAGCGGCACTAAACGTATCAGCTGGCGCTCCCAAGCACCAAGCCTTAACTTCCTGTTCCTTCATCCTTTGTGCATGCTTTGGAAATACTTGTAAAGAGGTCCAGGGGCCTGCCTTTCTTTCTTTTTTTCTTCCTCAAATGAACAGAGTCGGCAGTTTGGTGTTGCTTAACAGAAACCTGCTTTGTGTCCCTAACCTATTCGGAAAGATCACGCTTCTTGTCAAACTCCGAGCAAGCAGATCAAAGGGCAGGCTTTAGGGGGTTTTTGTTTCAAGCACTTTGTTATTACCAATTTACAGTTGGGAATTAACTGTTCAGTGAGCAAACTTTCACACTTTTTCCCTCCTAGATTTAAGAAAAGGGGGAGGGAATAAGTAGTGTTGAAAAATGTCTGGCTTTTCTGAAGTTGGGAGTTGAAGCAAATTGCTTTATTCAAATGTCTTAGTTACCCAATTAACCTGACATTGTTTAAAAGTTAGATTTCCTTGGTTACCAAAGCAAATGTGAAACAGGAACTCATTTATAATCGAAGGGTTTTTTTTTGTCATTAATAGTTTTTCACCCAAATTTCAGTATTTTTTTAAAGTTTCTCAGATTCTGAACAATGAAAGTACTTTCGGTTTTAAAATTGCCCTTTCTTTAAACTTTTTTTTTTCTTGAAACAGGATATTTCAATTGCATGGCAGTTAAAAATGGAGGGTGTTTGTGGTTTATTTATGGCAGTTTGTTAAGCCTTAAGCTGCAGTGAATTTGCAAAATCATCTGCCTCTTTTGTTAGAACTGCTTTTACTTTGTCTTAGCTGGCTTCGAGCTTTTCCTGTGGGACCTTCTTCTAACACCTTCTGCCCCCTGCAGTCCAAAGCTAAAAATGTGCCAACAAAGTTAGTCTGCTCCCGGTAGTAAAATAAGTCCTTTAAAATATGTGGAGTTGATGTATCAATGCGAAGAATATTCTGTTTTTATTTCCTCGACCAGTAAAGGGACTTAATTAGGGTTGAATAAAAAGCTGTACAAAGCTAAAGAAAAGACCTTCGAGATGAACAGAAACCGTCTCATAGGTGCCTTACTTTTAGATTTGAAAGGACTTAATACCATTTGTTAAAAGTGTTCTAACGTTCAAAATGATGTCTGAAAGTCACTGAGCTCGGATTTAAATATTCTGTAGGGTTTGATTTTTTTTTTTTTTTTTTTTGTGGTTTTTCAAGACAGGGTTTCTCTGTTTAGCCCTGGCTGTCCTGGAACTCACTCTGTAGACCAGGCTGGCCTCGAACTCAGAAATCCGCCTGCCTCTGCCTCCCAAGTGCTGGGATTAAAGGCGTGTGCTACTACTACTGCCCGGCCTAGGGTTTGAATTTTTAACCTTTCCGGTAGGATTAAAGTATTTACCACCAAAATAGCTTTCTTTGTTGGTTGCATATTCAATTTTCTTTGTCATGTAGAAATTAAAGACTGATGGGTAGCGTCTAGGTTCATATCTAATTGACAGTCTAAGAAAACCTTCAAGTATATATAAAAATGTACAGTGCTTGCATTTAGAATGTATTCATCCACTGGATTGTTGTCTCTAGACAAGGTTGAGAAGGCCATTCCCACACTGCCCAGCATCTTCCTGTCTCAGGTGTGATGGCCTACTCCCTGTGAGTGTAGTTTGTCTTTCCCAAGGGAAGGGAAGGAAGGAGGGGGGAGAGGGAGAGAGAGATGAGGAGAGGGAGAGGGAGAGATAGAGATTGGTTATATTCCAATTGGCAGCAGCAAAAAAGACAGGCGATTTGTGTTGAGAGTCTATAGCAGTGGTAGTGGTAGTTTGACTACTCCAGGCCTTTCAATGGAGACCCTGCCCCTCCACTGAAAACTTCACACTCAGTAGCTAAAAAAACCCACAAGGACTTGGAACAGTCTAAGTCAGTGACTTAGAGCGGGTCCCCTGCTGGTAAAAGGGAGTGACTGTGGGCCTGTCCTTTCTCAGGTGTTGTTGCAGCATCTGGCAGTGACTCTGAGGATGAAGACAGCATGGACAGTCCCCTGGACCTCTCCTCGTCAGCGGCCTCTGGCAAGAGAAGAAGGAGAGGCAATCTGCCCAAGGAGTCGGTCCAGATTCTGCGAGACTGGCTGTATGAGCACAGATACAATGCCTATCCCTCAGAGCAAGAAAAAGCACTGCTGTCACAGCAGACGCACCTGTCCACACTACAGGTAAGGAATTTGCCTCGTGGGGTGCTGGGGTTCCAGCCCAGGTTTGAGCTATGCCCCTAACTTATGCATACACACTTCCTTCTTTATCAATAGGCATTTTATAGTGTTCCTGTGGGCCAGGTTATAAGCTCTTCCCTAGTGTCTAGTAGAGGGATGGGGAGAAGAGAGAGAGAAACAGGTTCTTTTCATTGTAAACTTTAGAGTGTGAAAAGCTAATAATTGGTTATTTAATAGAGGACAGAAACTCTTGACACTCATCTGTCAGGAAGCATTTCCTTCAGTGCCTGAAAGAAGGAGGTTAAACCTTATTCTATTGCCCAGGAAACTGGTTTGCTATTTAAACAAGGACAGACCTTGGTGAGGTAATTGTGTTGTGTCTGTTGACACAGTCATTTGAACTGAGAGAAATCAGTTACTGGGAGGCGTAGCCTCTTTTCAACAGGAAATGTTTTCCTGTAGTTGATTAACTAAAATGCTGGGCAGTAGGTAGTAGGTTGAAATGGACTTAAAGGTGAACTTTCCTTAAAGTTATTGATTTTCAGGTATCTGAGATTTTGCACCTTTTCCTTGCCTCTGAAAGGCTTATGGGTGGTGGCATATCCAAAGTAAACTTGTCCTTATGACTGACGGGCTGACCCAGCTTAAATGCCTCCGAACTGCTTGTAAGGCCAGAGAAGCTTTATTTTAATTTATTTTTTAAATCATTGCTGTTGGGCCCCTGGCATGCTAGGCAGATGTCTGCCATTGAACTACCTCCTTAGCGCCAGAGAAGCCCTTTGTATCACCTCCTTTAAGTGAGGCTCCCTACGTAGGATGTTTTCGGAACCTGTTTGTCAAGTGAACTGAGAGTTGAAGCAGACCCTGTGTGATTTCAGGTCTGTAACTGGTTCATCAACGCCCGCCGCAGGCTGCTCCCTGACATGCTGAGAAAGGACGGCAAAGACCCAAACCAGTTCACGATTTCCCGCCGTGGGGCCAAGATTTCAGAAGCTAGCTCTATTGAAGCTGCCATGGGTATCAAAAACTTCATGCCAGCTCTAGAAGAGAGCCCGTTTCATTCCTGCTTAGTTGGACCCAACCCAACCCTAGGGAGACCAGTGTCTCCCAAACCTCCCTCCCCAGGATCCATTTTGGCTCGCCCATCAGTGATCTGCCATACCACTGTGACTGCACTGAAGGATGGGCCTTTCTCTCTCTGCCAGCCAGTTGGTGTGGGACAGAGTACAGATGTACAGCAAATAGCACCCAGCAACTTTACAGAAACCTCTCTCATGTACCCAGAGGACACTTGCAAATCTGGACCCAGTCCAAACCCTCAGAGTGGTCTTTTCAACACTCCTCCCCCTACTCCGCCAGACCTCAACCAGGATTTTAGTGGATTCCAGCTTCTAGTGGATGTTGCACTCAAACGGGCGGCAGAGATGGAGCTTCAGGCCAAACTCACAGCTTAACCGGTTTTTAAACAAAACAGTTCTGCAAAATATGGTCCTGGTTGCCAGGGGTGATGGCAAGAGATGCATTATTTTATATATTTTTCTATTAATATTTGCACATGGGATTGCTCAAACGCAGCTTCCTGTTACTAAGATGTCTTCAATGGAATAGAGTCATTCCAAGAACTACAGACTAAAGCTACTGTAGAAACAGAGGGTTTTCTTTTTGAATGTTTCTTGGTAGTTTCTCATAATGTGAGACGGTTCCCAGTATCATGTGATCTCCTCCCGACTCCTCTTTTTTTTTTTTCCCCAAGACTGTGCAATACTTGGACGCCCTCGCGCCTCTATTCCCATGTGGAACGCGATGCCTACATACAGTCTAACGAATAAACCTTCAGGTTTTTGTTTGTTTTTTTTTTTTTTAGATTCAAGCAAGTATGAATCTAGTTGTTGGATACCTTTTTTCATGATGTAATAAAGTATTTTCTTTAAAAGTTATTGCAATTAAGAGCATTTTCTTGAAGGAAGCACTCAGAACACAGTAGGAATATAGCACACCCATGAGCAGGAGATGGGCAGGGCAGACTGTGACTTAGGGGTGTGTGTGTTTGTGTGTGTGACTGCTTTGAAGAACTGGACAACAAACCACTATGAATAAACAGGATGTGAGATTTACTCAGTGGAGGAAGAGCTTGCCCTTCAGTCTTCGCTTAGAGATGAATGGCAGATTGCAGTGAGCTATCGGCATCGGTTCATGACTACATCTTAGTGGGGTCATCAACAGTGAGCCACTGTATACTTTAGACAGGCCCACGTTAAATGGAAGGCTTCAAGCAACTGGTCACAGCTTGACTTTCACAAGTAAACACCACCAGCAATTTTCCTATGCCTTTCTAATATTCACTCTGGTGGTACAGTTAGGTAAAGCTTTGGTATTGGAGTAGGCACTCCTTTGCAGAGATGATACATTTTATACATTATATGCCTGTTACATTTTTAAAAACCTTTTCCAGCATGCTGACAGAGCCAGGAAGGGACTGTCCATGATGATATTCTGAGTTTATTAAACTCTGACCGGTGGCAGCATGTGCAAGTGGGGTCTGTTAGGATAGAAAGTTACTTACAAAGCCTGGTTGGCCAGAAGGGAATCGGTTGTGTTCCTTTCACTTGTCACATGCCACAGACCCATTCCTACAAAGCCATGCTTACTGTGAGGTTTCTTTGTTGTTAAAGGCCCATCCTGTGCATTCCTGCTGCAGCTATGAACCGAGGGTGCACCACAGCTTCTGGATGCCGATTTTAGAGAGTAGGACATTCTTGCACACTGAAGTTTGCCTAAACGTGTAAGTCGCTGCTGCAGAAAAAAAGAACACTCAAAAAGTTTCTAAGTGAAACAGAAAACCCACAGCGAAGAAGCCAGAGGTGTAAGGAAGTGAAGGAAAGGTTTCCGCTGGGTTCTGCCAGAGGGTGACTTGACCATAGTACAAGTGAAGGTGGGTAAAGAATTATGCTCACTTCAAAGCTGGATCAAAGGTCACAAACACTGCTATAAATCCTGACCTACCCATGTTAAGCTCTTGCTAACATTAAAAGAAAACCCCAAAATAACAAGAGCTGGGGAAGGAGTCAACTCAAGCCTGGAGGAATGCACAAGGCAAACAGGTAAACTCAAGGTTGAGGCCTAAAGCCCATGTTTTATGCAGTTTTCCTCCTCTGAGCTTAGAGATTCTGGTTCTCAATAGCTGATAGATAGTACATAGAAACCATTGTTCTGACAGATCTAATTCAAAAGCTGTCAAATCAGTTGGGCACGGAGGCACACCTGCAATCCCAGCACTCGAGAGGAAGGAGAATCAGACCTCTGAAACCCTCCCGTGCTACTCTTTGAGAGATTCAGATTTAAAATAAAATGATTTATGGGGCTGAGGAATATTCTGTTGGCAGGGTGCTTGCCTAGCATGTAGGTGACCCTGGGTTCTGTCTTCCCATTACATAAACTGAGCAAAGTGCCACATCCCTGTAACCCCAGCCTGTATTCAAAGTTTTATACTCTTGTTACATGCGAGCTTGGCCAGCCTGGGCTACTTAAAACACTGTCTCAAACTATTGGGTCAAAGCTGGAGGGAAATGATTGTTCTGGATCTACTGTTTACATGGTATAGCTTTTTGTTTGTTTACTTTTAAACTTCCTGTGTTTAAATCTTTTCAGGCATATATATAACTGAGTTTTTCATTTAGTCTCTGCCTTTGAGTCAATTTGTTTAGTCACGTTAAACCTCATACGTTTCTAGCGCCAAGCCTAGCTATCTCTTGATGAATTTATAGTCCGTGTATATATAGTTTTTTTCCCCCTGCCTTTGTATCCCTCCGTTTTTGTCTCAGTTTAATTAGTATTTTCTAGTATTTTTTCTTCAGTTTTTATTTTCAGTCATGAACTATGCTACTCGGTTAGTTTAATTGTTGTGGTTTTCGTCTCACTAAATAGACCATGCTGGCCTTGAACTCCTAGAGATCCACCTTTCCCTTGCTCCCAAGTTCTGGAACCAAAGACATTCTCCCCTCCACCCAGCTGTACCGTTAATTCCGAGTAGTTGCAGGGACTAGAACATGCGTCTTTAGTGTACTCACGTCTCCAGTGAAGGTCTCTTCGATTCCTCTCCCGCTTTGCTTTAATGGGTCTGTTCAAATAAACATGTCCCTACGTGATATGCTCAACGATAGAGATAAAAGTTTTTCTTAAAAACAACAACCAACCTCAACTTGGTCTGGCTTGGTGGAACTTGCCTTTAATCCTGGCAGTAGGGAGGCAGAGGCAGGCGGATCATTGTGACTTCAAGCCTGCCAGGACTACATAGTGAGACCCTCTCAAAAGGACAGAACACGAGCTTTGTGGGAGACTCTATGTATAGATACATGTGTGTGTGTGTGTGTGTATTTGTATAGAATTTCTGGTGCCTTCCGTTCTTTCCTGTAGACTCAAGTGACAACTAGTGTCATACCTCATAAGCTTGAAGAACCACTCCCCAAAGGAGTGTAGTGTGAAGCGGTTCAGTGGAAACCAAGCTTGACTAACCTAAGCTCAATCCTCAGGGCCCTCCTGCAGAGGGAATATTTATTGAACTTTCATTTTACTTTTGTCTTGGAAGGATGCTTTTAGATTGGCACTTTCCTTTGGTGTGACTAAGACTTAGCCTCTGTCCCCACTCTTTCTGAGGAGATGCCTGCTCTCATGTCATTTCCTTACGAAGAGCACTGTGATACTTTGGAATTTCAACAGCCAGACCTTAATGTGGCTAGATAGATGGGTTTTCTTTTGTTTGTTTGCTTTGCTTTCTATCGTCTTGGAGTTCACCAACTGCCTTGGGTGAGTATGTCTGTTACCTTTTTATTTGTTTTATGCACAATCAGGAAGGTTTTGGCCATTTAGTTTTAAAATAAAATAAAACTTTAAATAAAATTAAAATAAATAAAAATAAAATTTGTTTTCTTCTCTCCTAATAAGCCAATAAATGTACCGTAGATCACCTAAGATTTGCCTTACGTGTTTTTAAGGCTTATATTTTCACGGAGCTCCCGGTGCAATAATTCATCTACGTGACTTTCAGCTTGTTCTTTGTCCTCAATCTGCTGTTGAGCCTGTCCCAGGACATTTTGAGTTATATATTTTTTTCATATAGGTTCTCATTTACTAGAAATAGAACCCAGGGCCTCACTCCTAAGAACCCAGGGTCTTATCCATGCCCTGCAAGGACATTGCCACTGATCTACACCCAAGCCTCCCGTTTGATTCTTTGTAGACCAGGCTGGGGTTGAAGTGATCCCCCTGCCTCCGTTTCCCAAGTGCTGGGATTAAAGGAGTGCACCACCACACCCAGCTTTTTTTAATTGTTTTTGAAAAGCTATTTACATTCTATTGTGATCTCGTTGGTTTATTAATTATATTTCTGTATAAGCTATCTATTTCTCTATCTCTCTATGTCTATCTGTCATTTGTATGTAGGCCAGAGATTGAGATTAAGTGTGTGCAATCACTTTTCATTTACTGAGGCAAGCTCTCTTCTTGAGTCTGCAGCTTGCCCATTACTGCCCTGAAGATCTCCTGAGGCTGCCTCCTACGTACCTGATCACAGGCGGGCTGTTATGCCCACCTGGCTTTTATGGTGGGTGCTGGGGTTCCGGGGTTCAGTTCTCCCATTTGCATGGTCTGCTTCACCCTCCAAGCCATCTTCCCAGCCCCTCGTACACTATGTATTATCCACGGCCTTAAAGCACTTGTCTGCTGATTGTAATGTGTCATAATAGATGGAGTTTCTGTCGGCACCCTTTTCCTGCAGTAGGGGTTCAACGTGGGAAGCCATTGATTTTTTCTTTTCCTTTAACTATATATTGGACATCATAGGTATGGGGTGATTCAAAGCTGTTCTACGATGTTCCTCTGAGAGCTACTTTTCTGTCTTCGGGAAGCTCTGACTCTAGCTGAAGCCTGAACCTGTTCTTACACCATCCTGCAGCGGGCCTGAGAGCTGTACAACAGTACACCCCTTGCACAGGCTGAGACCTGTCCCTGCAGCAGCTTTCTGTCCACAGCCTTTCCCCAAACCTCCAAAACCTTTCAACTTTGTCCACCCACAAGTCTTTCCATGGCATCTTAAAAGAACATTTTTAAATTTACCTTATGTGTTGGAGTGTCTTGCCTGCGTGTAGGTGTGTTAGTTCTGAGGACACTGAACAATGGTCCTCTATAGCTGGAACTAACGCCAGCTTATTCTTATGACATTTTTTTTTTAAATAGGAACGATGATCTTTTATTGGGGGAGGGTTCATCAATCCTTCTTGGCCACCGCCTTCCTCACGCCTTCCTCATGGCCCCCAGCACGTTGCTCAGCTCCTCCCGCTTTCTCTTGGCACGGATGTGCGTGCCCGGAGGTTTTCGCGCCCTATGAGCCCCATGCCATGGAGTTGCTCAAAGTGTCCAAGGACAAGCGCCGCATTCAAGTTCATCAACTCCATGGCGCGGCGCTCATAGGGCACGAAGACCTCCGGGATCATGTCCCGCACGAACTTGGTGTGCTTGGTGAGGCGCCCGCTGTGCCGGCTGTGTCTCGGCTTGCTGACGTTCTTCGTCACTTTATGACCCTTGTTGAGGTCCATGGCCATAGGGTAACGCAGGGCCATAGCTGCTGCTCTCCGATGGCGGCCAGAACAGGTTCTTATGACATCTTAAGCCGTGGAGGCCGTGGTGTCCTCCCATCGCTAGGCCTGTGATGGCGACATTACAAGTGAGTCTATCTTTGAATTACCTTCTCTTGAGAAGACAGTCTCTGCCCACTTTTGCTCAATTATTTCGAAGAGGGAGATTGAGAAAGGGTATCTCGAGCTGGTCTTCAGCTCACTACCCTTAAACTCAATACCCTGCTCCCAAGGCTAGGATTACAGACCCGAGCCGCCACATCTGACTCAATTAGCTCTCTCTACTTGTTAAATACTTCGTTCCTGGTT